GTAGTTCTATCTTATGTTATCTGGCAGAGAAAATTCCCCTTCTTAACACTGATTTCCCCAAAATTTCTTAACTATTCCATCTGATTTTTTCCATCCTGTGAAATTTAGAATCAGTTGGTGAAGTTTCAAAATCTCATCTGTAATTTGATTGAAATTGCCTTAAATCTTTATATTAACTTGAGAAGAATTGATATTCATAATATTTAGCCTCTCCAATTGGGACCTTGGTACATTTTTCTGTTTTTTAGACTTTCTCTCTCAATGGAGTTTTGTCTTTTTTCCATATGTATATTTTTTGCTAGAATTATGTCAGAGGTTTTTTTTTTTTTTTAAGCATTTGAAAATTGCTGTTTGTGAATGAGAGCATGGAAGTTTTTTTCCATATTTCTCTTCGTTTGAATTGCTGGGATAGAATTAAGCAATTTTCTACTCTTAATTCTGGTGTATTCCAGCCACCTTCTGCAGCAACTTCTTATTAATTCTATGCTAGTTTAGCTCATTCTTTTGAGTAGTCCAGGAGCAAATAACTGTCATTTTGCTTTAGAGCTATTCTTCTCTTTGTCTGTGTTAAGTTCGGGCTTTTGTCATGGAGCTCCTTGTGGGCATGTGCCCACTTCACCTTGCCTCCCACCAAAGTGCCAAGCCCTCAGTTGGTTCTCAGTGAGTGTTCCTTGAGTGAGAGTGAAGGAATCCTAGGCCAAGGAACTCAGTTCTGGTCTCAGGTGGCAGCCCCTCGATGGGTCACTCCAGTTTATGGTCTGCTCCTCAGTTTTATCAGAAGGCTGGGGCTCTGATGCCGGCCAACCACCTCACAGAGATGCTGCGCATTGTCTGCTTCCAGCCAGTCGGGGAGCAGTGGCCACTTTCCCTAGGGAGACCCCATTTAGGGCAGAAAGGGCTTAGGAATAGGGCCCAGCAGAGACTGGTCAACCCAAAAGGTCTTGCTCTCCCACCAGCCAGACTACCCTAGCGTACCCCTCCCAGGCTTGAAACACTCTTTCTAAGGAAGGGAGGCTAACTTCAGACTCAGCCCCTCCCATGGGTCCAAAGCAGGGAAAGTGACAGGAGGTTTTATTTGGTTCTCCGTTTATTTCTACATGCTATATAGTTCCCCACATTTATTAGTATTCTGTTCTTTCATTTTAAAAATAGGTAATACATTCACAAGCTTCAAACATGAAAGCAATCAAAAGATTTCATTAAAACAAAAGAATATTTTAATGTAATCTCTACCCCCGATATGGGGCTCAAACTCACAATCCTGAGATCAAGAGTCACATGCTCAACTGACCGAGCCAGCCAGGCACCCCAAACATGAAAGCAATTTAAAAGGCTTACAGTGAAATGTCTCACTCCACCTCTGCCCTGCCCCATCCATACTACTTTTATTAACTTGTATGTCCTTCTAAGATGTTTTTATTCAAATACAACCAAATGTGAATATATATATATATATTTTAAAGATTTTATTTATTTATTTGACAGAGAGAAAGACAGCGAGAGCAGGAACACAAACAGGGGGAGTGGGAGAGGGAGAAGCAGGCTTCCCGCCGAGCAGGGAGCCCGATGCGGGACTCGATCCCAGGACCCTGGGATCATGACCTGAGCCGAAGGCAGACGCTTAACGACTGAGCCACCAAGGCTCCCCAAATGTGAATATATTTTTACTTTTGTTCATTCTTACACAATAGGTGGCATCCTATTGATTTTATTTATTTATTTTTAAAAGATTATTTATTTATTTATTTGAGAGAGAGAGCATGAACAGGGGGAGGGGCAGAGAGAGAGGGAGAAGCAGGCTTCCCGCTGAGCAGGGAGCCCAATTCGGGGCTTGATCCCAGGACCCTGAGATCATGACCTGAGCCAAAGGCAGACTTAACCGAATGAGCCACCCAGGCACCCCAATTTTTTTAATTTAAAATATACATTATAATAATACAAATATTGAACACTCATCATATGCTAGTCACTAGTCTAACCTTTTATATATATTAATTCATTTAATCTTTTTATGCTCCTATTATTATCCTCATTTTGCCATGGAGATTTTTCCATTTAAAGAGCTTCCTCGATTTCTTACAGCTGCATAGCATTCCACTGTATGGAGTACATCCTAATTTATGAAACTCATTGCCTAGCCTTGTTTCTGTTCTTTGCTCTTACATACTGTGTTGCATTGTACAGATGTTATTTTGTAAGTTAGAGATAGAGCTACAGAGTAGCTACGTAGAAGAGGGATTGCTGGGTCAGAGGATAAATGCATTTGTGATTTTGATGGCTGTTGCCAAGCTGCCCTCTGCAGAGTTATTGGTTCTTTTCATATTATGTAGGACTTCTCTCATTTGATCCTCTATAGCACTCCCATATGAGTTGGGGATTATCCCTGTTATACAGATAAGAAAACTGAGGTGCAAAGAGGTTAAGTGACTTGCCAAGGGCACAGAGCCAAGGTCAGATCCACGTTTTCCCAGCTCTTTTCTCTGCTTCAGCTGACACTTACCTCAGTCCCCGGCCCCGCCTTGTGGTGATGGGTCTCTGTCACTTACATCAGATTTCCCCAGGCTGGAAGAGCTGAATGCTCTTGACCCAGTGGCAGCCCCCATGCTTCCCTCACACTCTAGACTCTCCAGGAAACCTCTCCTGGCCTGGAATAAGTCTCCTTTGTTTGATCAAGAGGTTCAAGTTCTGAGGCCTTGCCTTCTTGGTTGATTTGGGGAGGCTGAGAGCTGGCAAAGCTGAGGACTGGTGCCTGATGCCACAGTTTTGGAGTCAGGTTGCCTGGCAGGGTCTCCACTGGCTGTTCCAGGACAAGCTGATCTCAGTAACTGAGGCCAAAGGGGCTCCAGCTAAGATCCTTTCTCCTGGCCTCAGGTGGGCTGACTATCGCTGCTAATGAGAATAAATCACAGCAAACTTTCTGGGGAAGTGACTAACAGTATTTTCCTGGGAGCGTTTGAAGAGGGGGCATTGCAGGACCAGGGACTTGAGCCATACTGCCTGGAGTTTTCTGTTAGTTTCCTATTGCAGCTGTAACGAATTACCACAAATGTAGGAGCTTAACCCTTTACAAATGTATTATTACATACCTCTGGAGGTCAGAAGTCTGCATTGGGTCTCACAGAGATAAAATCGAGGTATCAGTAGGGCCATGTTCCTTCTGGAGGCTCTTGGGGAGAATCTGTTTTCTTGCCTTTTCCAGCTTCTAGACGCTGCTTGCACTCCTTGGCTCATGGCCCCCTTCCATCTTCAAAGCCAGCAGGAGAGCATCACAGGACCTCTGCTTCCATGATCACATCTTCCTGCTCACACCTGCCTGCCTCCCCTTCTTTCCTTATAAAGACCCCACCCAGATAATCCGGGATAATCTTCCCATCCCGGATCCTTAACTTAATCACATGTACTAAGTCCTTATCATCATATAACATAACATACTCAGGTTCTGGGAATTAGTACATTATTCTGCCTACTATAGTTTGCCTCTGGACTCTATCACTTACTAATTGTGTGACCTTGGACAAGTTACTGTACCTCTTGTTTAGTGTCCTCATCTTTAAAATGGGGATATAATAATTCCTACTCTGTTGGAGCGTTAGGAGGATTAAAAGGGTTGATATTTCTCAAATGCTTATAATAGTGTCTGACACATAGAAAATGCTATGGAAGTGTCTGCTAGCTAAAATATATTAAATAAATAAAAATATGCATACTCTTTGATTTAACATTCCTATTATTTGTAACCTATTTCATAGAAACAAAAGCATCCATGTGTTAGGCCACATAAAGCATTGTCCATATTGGCAAAAAGAAAAAAAAATGTACAAATAGGAAATCACTGGTGTGCCTCAATGGCTCAGTCGATTAAGTGTCTGCCTTGGCCTCAGGTCATGATTCCCCGGAGTCCTGGGATCCAGCTCCACATCGGCCTCCCTGCTCAGCAGGGAGTCTGCTTCCCCCTCTGCCTCCCACCCTGCTCGTGCTCGCTCACTCTCCCTCAAATAAATAAATAAAATCTTTAAAAATAAAAAAACAGGAAATCACTGGAATGTCCATTAACAAGAGCATGACTGGATCCGTTGTGGTACATGTGAAATTCAAAGGCGAATACATTAGATCTATACTTATTGGACCTCCAGGAATGTCCTGAACAAAAGTTAAATTAGAGGAGGAAGTTACAAAGTCATTACACATGATCTCATTCATAGCATGATCTTGTTTTGTTTTGTTTTGAAGAAAAAACATCAACCCACCAAAATTGTTGTAGATTCTTGAGCCAATTATTTAACCTCTGAATGTCTGGGTTTCTTCGCCTGTGAAAAGAGGATAAAAATAATTCTCCCCATGGAAACTCTAGGGAGCATTGCGTGGGATAAAATGTATCAAGTCCTTAAAATCCTGCAAGCAGCTGCATAGTCCGGCTATTTGTGTAAAGTGGTTTGAGCAGACAGAGTTGTGGAAGGACGCACCCAGATGCTCCTCTGGTTTCCTCGGAGGAAGGGAAAAGAAATTCAGAAGTGGTGTGAAGAGATGATTAACTTTTTGTGTATCTGTATATTGTTTCACAGAGAAGCCTAGCTGTTGTTACTTTAGTAACTTTTTTATGTGCTAATGTTTTATTGGTAGTTTGAAGACTAGCACCATAACCACAGACTTGAGGGGCGACTGAGTGGCTCAGTCGGTTAAGTCTGCTTTCAGCTCAGATCATAATCCCAGAGTCCTGGGATGGAGCCCCCCCATGGGGCTCCCTGCTCAGCGAGGAGCCTTGTTTCTCCCTCTGCGGGTCCCCCTGCTTGTGCTCGCTCTCTCTCAAATAAATAAAATCTTAAACACACACAAACCACAGACTGAATTGGGAAGAGCACGAACCTAGAAACACACCATGATTCAAAGTTTTGTAATTTCTGAAGAGGAGTTTAATTAACGAAAGTGTAAAGCGGAGGTGGGGGGAGTGGTGAGGGGGGAGCAGGAGAGCCCTAAACCAGGCCGGCCTTGTGTATCCGCAGCATCTACTGCCGAGGTTGCTCCAAACCACTGTGCTGCTCGTGCGCGCTTCTGGATAGCGGCCACAGCGAGCTCAAGTGCGACATCAGCACCGAGATCCAGCAGCGGCAGGAGGAGCTGGGCGCCATGGCGCAGGCACTGCAGGAGCAGGACCGCGCCTTCGGGTCGGCGCAGGCGCGCATGCGCTCAGCCGTCAGCCAGCTGGGCCGCATGCGGGCAGACACCGAGGAGCTGATCCACGAGCGCGTGCGCCAGCTGGTGGCTCACGTGCTGGCCCAGGAGCAAGTGCTGCTGGAGGGGGTGAACGCGCAGTACCAGCGCTGCTATGAAGAGATCGCCGGCCAGCTGGGCCACCTGGAAGCTGTGCTGCAGCGGATCCGCCTGGGAGGTTCGCTGGTGCAGAGGATGAAGCGCTACGCCTCTGACCAGGAGGTGCTGGACATGCACGCCTTCTTGCGTGAGGCGCTCAGCCGCCTGCGCCAGGAGGAGCCCCAGAACCTGCAAACCACCGTGCGCACCGACAGCTTCGACGAATTCAAAGTGCGCCTGCAGGAACTGGTCTCCTGCATCACTCAGGAGGCAGGTAAGCACCCGAGCCACCCTCGTGACCAACCCCTTTACCATTTAAGGGCTTGTGCTTTGCTCTTGCACAAGCAAGACGGGCAGAAAAAGGTCATTTACATGTGACAGGAAAGGAACCTGGGTTTTTTTTAAATTAAGTCTAGGGTTGCTCACATTGTAGATTCTAGAGTGCAGGTTATGAGGAGGAGAGTAGGCCCTGACGTGGGTCTGCAGCCTCCCAGAGGGGTCATGTTGTACTAATTTGCAAGACCCTTTGGATTAGCTGTGATCTTGTGACCCTCGGAGAAGTTAAGAAAATACAAAGCAGGGAACCAGACCCAGTATCATTTTAGCCTCAGAGGGTAACCACTCCAGGAAGTTCGCTTAAGCCCTGTGTGTAGCAACAGAGAATTCAACTGAACCTGAGGTTAGAGCAGAAGGGGGCTGAGGAAACCCCCTGGGGTGGTTGGATGGTTACCCAAAACCACACTCTGGCTCAGTGGAGGAGATACTTTGCCTCCAGCATGGCCTGTCATCTGGATCAGCTGCCCACAGCTGATAGATAAACTAGTGTGAGGATGCCCTTACCGAGAAAGGGGTGGGTGGCAACAGAATCTGAAGGTATCTGGGCAAGGGCCAGTGATGGGGGCTCCTCACTCACTCCTGCCCTCGGAGCTGAGGGATGTGGGCTCATAAAAGTATAATCCTGGAGTGGATATGGATTTGTGCCTTCTCCACCTAGGCAGTGAATGTTACTCCGTATACAGGAAATGACCCCACAGAGTTTAAACAGCTTGTCTTCGGTATCATAACTGGGCAGTGGCAGGGCAAGGAGCTCTTTTATTCTGAAGCATGAGAGATTTAGGTTAGATGTAATAGAAATCAGGCTGTGGGTCATAAGAGTATCTGAAGCTCTCACTGTATGCAGAGAAGTCAGCGAGCAACAACAACCTTAGGATTGGTTGCACTTTGCCTTGGTGGTGGCCAGGAGATGGACAGAGGGTGCCCCTGGGGTTTGCAGTTTCCTCTCTGGCTGGGTTCATGCTCACTGCAGTCAGGGGGCTCTCCTTCCAAATGACAGCCCCTCCGTGGAGCTACCCCGGTGTTCTGAGAGACCCTGAAGCCTGAGTCTCTAGGAAAAGCATCAGGGACATTTCCTCTGTCACTGTCCCATCCAAGATGCCTCTTACCAGGGATATCCCTGACCTGCCTGTGACCTTTTCTTTGTTCTCCAGATGCAGCTGTACCCAGGCGAGCCAACCCAGAGGCTGCCAGCACTCCTAGGGATTGTTTTGACATTGACTCGGTGAGATGGGTTCAGGTGTGAAGGGGAGGCGGTAGGGTCCAGCAGGTCAGACAGGTTCCCCTGTGGTGGGAAGGAAACTGAGTCTCGTTGTCCCTATGTCTGCAGGCAGTAGAGGAGGGAGAGTGCCTGAGAGGGATAGCGAGTGGCTGGACTGGAGCTTTCGGTGGGAGGGAGTAAAGGAAGGGCCGGCAAACTGGCTGGTTCTGGACTCCTAAATGCACTTGATGGGTTCAGGAAGGGATGGACAGGAGGTGAAGAAGGCAGTCACCAGTGGGTGGCCCTGACAGATGTGGTAGATGACCTCTCCCTTACCCTGTACCCCATCCCAGACATGTGAGCCTTTTCCTGGAATCACCATAGGGGCCTTCCCCTCCTCTTCCCCACACGCGGTTCTTGGGGAGGAGAATGGGGCCAGGAGTCAGACCTCAGTCCCAGCAGCTTGGGTTTCATGGGTGTGATTTCAGGACCAGCATAGGTGCAAGAACCATAGTTTCTCGGGCACCTGGGTGGCTCAGTTGGTTAAGCGACTGCCTTCGGCTCAGGTCATGATCCTGGAGTCCCGGGATCGAGTCCCACATCGGGCTCCCTGCTCAGCGAGGAGCCTGCTTCTCCCTCTGACCCTCCCCCCTCTCGTGTACTCTCTCTCATTCTCGCTCTCTCAAATAAATAAAATAAATCTTAAAAAAAAAAAAAAAAGAACCATAGTTTCTCAGGATTGGGAGGTGTCCATACGCCCTCTAATGATGGCATTCCCTCTGCAGCACCCTTGACCTGTGGCTGTCCACACACACACCTCCACGAAGAGGAAGCTCACTCATTCTTGAGACAGCCACTCCTGTCTCTGGACTGCTCTGACTTAGATTGCTGGCCAGGGGGAAAATGCAGTGGCCCTGCTTTGGCTTGCCCTCTTGGATGCTTGCATGCATGGTTCCTCTGCTTTGGGCTAAGCTTCCTGAGTTCCTTCTTGGACCAGGCGTTGTGGTCATCCAGGTTTGCATGGGCCTGCCTGTCAAGGATGTGGGCCCTGGACCCATCAACCCTCCATGGAAAGCAGGTCTTCTGGTGGTAGCGGGTCAGGCGGTGAGCCTTCCTAGCTTTGCCATATATGGCCTTTAGGAGAAAAAGATTTCAGTAGACAGAGGCAATCTGGACAGGCTTCCTGGAGGAGGCAGGATTTAGGCTCTGAGAGTTTTAGAGCTAGGAGAGAGCATGGAGTCTAACCCCCTCTTTTGCACAGGCTAAAGTTAAGGCCCAAAGAGAGGGTGACTTAACTCAGAGCCACATGACACGGCAAGCTAGGGGTAGGACTAGAAGCCAACTCCTACCTGCTTTGGGTACTGCATTCCCATATATATAGCTTGACAAGTAAAAAAGGAGAAGTAAAGTGAAAAGTAAAGTAAAAAGTAAAAAAACAAAAGTATTTTGTTTTTTGGATAAGTAATACGATCACATGGTCAGAAGTAAAAACATAGAAAGTGGTAAGTATGTCAACTATACTCCCAATTTTTAAAATGTCACTGATTTGTACACTTACAGTTTCTGCATTTCACTGTATATAAATTGTACCTAAAAAAATTTTTTTCTGATCCCCAGGTGATGATGATTTGTAGCTCAGTTGAGAATCACTGTTTTGAGGTGGGGAGGACACTCACCTACCATCTCTCCCTACCGCATTCCTCGTTTGAGGTCTCCCATTAGTCAGCATCTCAGTGATTTCTTATACAATGTAAAAAAGGCTGTAATTGTGCATAGCCCGTATTGTCGCATAATACCCTCCATGTGGCACCTTGCTGCCCCAGTCCTGCGCATACATTACCTGGATTTAACAAAAGAAAGAAAGAAAGGGATACATAATGTCTCACGCCCACCTGGTCCCTATCTTTCCACTTCTATGCCCATATACCTATCTTTATTTATTTCTTACATATCCTTCCAGAATTTCTTTGTCATTACAAGCAAATATGATTACAGGTAATTGGTTTTTCCATTCTTTTTTTGTACAAAGGTAGCATAATACCATATATTCAGAGTGTTGTGCCCAGGCTTCTTCACCCAAGGAGGTATTCTGGAATCCTCTGGAATTCTTACACTATCAGTAGGTAGGGAGTTTCCTGATGCCTTTTTGCATCTGCACAGTGGCCTATTGAATGGATGTAGCATGCTTAATTTAGCCAATTCCCTGCCAATGCATATTTAGGTGGTTTTGGTATTACAATGCAAGGATGAATGATGTCCCCATAGAAATCCTCTGAATAATTGTGTAAAGTGCCCCCAGGGTCCACGGAGCTCGGAGCACTCGGCTATCTTCCAGGTGCCAGTCGCTGGTTAATTAACAGCATTTTGCCGGGTCTTGGTCTTTACATGACCTCTCACCATCCTATCCGCTATTAAGCGGTTTGAACTTGGAGCATCAGAAGAACGTTCTTTTTTGCAAAGCCTCTTGCTTTCACTTTGGTAGTAGGCTGGAGGAGGGGACAGCTAGGCCAGTGGAGCTGGGGGAGGGGAATAGGTTTCACACTGTGAGCCCAAGGGCCCAGTGGAGCAGCTGCAGCGAGGCTGGGAGGCAGGCATGGTTAGGCTGTCCCAGGAGAAAGTCCGGTCCATCAGCTATAGCTATGCCCAGAGAAAGGCTACTCTTGGGTCCGTGCCCCTGCCTTAGGAGGTAGAAGCTGGGCTTCCGGCACCAACACTTGATCCCTCTTGAAATGGTTGGTTTACTTTCATTGCAGTCATGTGCCCACGCAGAGGCGATAAGAAGAATAGCAGTAGGCTTGACTAGGACTGCCTAGCTTAGAGGCGTTTTCTTTTTGTTTCTTCTAAGCTCTTTTTGTAATGACGTTAAAATACTTCAATGAAAAAAATAAAACATTTTAAAGTTATAAAACAACTGGAAATCAGTCATCATGATTTTTTTGTCTTTAGAGACCCCTCCTGTGTGTCCCCTGCTTCATTAACCTGGGAGTGAGGGTGTCATGGGTGGGACATGCAGAGAGAGGGACCCAAGCCCACCCGTGGGGAGTTCATAGCCCACGTGCAAAGAGGGTCTTTCACCTACCAGTGATTTGTAGATCCAGACACAAAAGGACATTTTCAGCTTTGTAAAAAAATTTTTCAGGGTGATAAAATACACATAACATAAAATTTACCTAGCAGTGGAATTGCTGGATCATATGGTAATTCTATTTTGAACGTTTTGAGAAGTCACTATGCAATTTCCCATAGTTGGCTACACCATTCTACGTTCCCACCAACAGTGGGCTCCAGTTTCTTTACATTCTCACCCACACTGTTTTCAATAATAGCCGTCCTAATGGGTGTGAGGTGGTTTCAATTTTTGACCACTACCCACTGTAAAGAAATACTATTTTATATCTAGTCTACAGTATATACGCATGCACGTACATAACTGTAGCTGAAATGGAAGTTTTGCAGGATAAATTACACTTGTTACATGGGACGTACTCTGGTATTTTCTGTTCTGTACTATTCTGCATAATATTAAAAAATGCTGGTCATGACCCACTGATTTGCTTTCATGATCCACTAATGGGTCACAGACTACAGTTTGAAAACCAGTGGTGTAGAGCACTCAGCGGAGATTGTGTACTTTCCTAGAGGCCCAGGAGATCATCTGTTTCTCCCCCCTTCCCCCAGATACACTCTGCTCTGATCCAGAGAGACAACTCTCCTTCCTTTCTGTAAAGATGTTGGAAAAAAAAAACCCAGGAGGGAAGTGGGGGGAAAGGAAGTCAGTCCATTATAGCAAATGATGTGGAAGTCCACATCCCACATCAAAGTACTCGATATTAAGAGCCCAGCCCTGGGGGGTTCCCGTCCCAGCACGGGGGGTGGGGTTGGGGGGGCTCGTGGTCATGCTAGGTTTCCCCTGCTTGCCCCTGCTCCAGCTGTGTGCGGTTCCCTTTCCTTCACTACACAGACCACTGCAGGCCCCTGCTCATGGTCGTCTACTGGGCACACACAGAGTTGGAAGCAGGAACAGCAGGCCAGGGTCCCTGGAGGAGAGCCCCAGAGTCTGGGCCTCCCCTCTCCGAGGGACACCTCCCAGGTCACTTGTCACTTATTTTCAGCAAACTGTCCAGCAGATGCAGCACCGTAGAGAAAGGTGGTGTGGAGGGGTGTAAGGGAGACAGTGACTAAAGAAAAGGGAACTTGCATTTCAGAAACACTAGATTCAAACCCCGGTCCAGGACCTTGGGAAATCAATCACTTCACCTCTCGTGCCTCTGACCCTTCTCTATAGATTGGCAATAATCACGGGATGGTCCCTATTTCTTTATAATTTTTTTTATTGCGGTAAAATTCATATAGGAAAATTCCCCATTTGAACCATCCTAGAGGGTACAGTTCAGTGACATTTAGTACGCTCACAATCTTGTACAGCCACCCCACCCACCTAGTTCCAAAATATTCCCATTATCCCGAAAGGAGATGTTGTGGCTGCCCCCCGTCTCCCCCACCCCCACCCCAGCATCCCATCTGCTCTCTCCCTATGCAGTCAACTCTTGCGGATAGTTCATATAAACGGACCCATACAACTTGTCTTCTTTTGTGGCTGGCTTTTCATTTCGTGTAGCGTGCAAGGTTCATCCAAGCTGCACGTGCAGAACTTCGTCCCTTTTTATGGCTGAGTAATGCTCTGCTGAGTGGCTGTCCCACATTTTGTTTATCCGCTCAGTGGTTGATAGACATCTGGGTTGTTTCCACCTTTGGGTTGCCATGAATATTCGCGTGCAGGTTTCCGTTTGAACATGTTTTCAGTCCTTCGGGCCTCTGCCTAGGAGTCTCATCGTTGGGTCAGTTGGAAATTCTGTGTTTAACTTTTTGAGGAGCTGCCCCTCCCTCCTTCCTTTCGGGATGGGTGTAGGAAGCACTTCGCACTGTGCCCTGCACAGCGGAGTCGTAAAAACAGTCTTTACCATCCGCAGCATCAGTGGTGCTTACTAAGTGTCAGCTGCTCTTCCAAGCGCAGCAGAGTTCATCCGCCTATTCCCGCGAGACAGATGTTGCCTGTAGTCCCATTTTACGGAGGGGGACGGAGGCCTGAGGAGTTTTCAGTGATGGGTCCAAGGTGTGTAAATTGCCGTTCTGACCCAAGTGGAGTTAAAGCCCAGGGGCAGAGTGCCGGTCACAGGGAAGCCCCTGGAAGGGTCTCCTCTCCATTCTAACTTTGCACCTGTATAAGAATAGCTTCCTTCCGGAGCGAGCACTGTTCCTAGAGTTCTCGTTGAGCAAGCCTTAAGGCATGGTTGGTCCGCATGATCCCGGAAGTCCCCTTCTGGCCCTGTTAGGATGCCCAGGAAATGAAGTGACCCTGGATGCCAGCACCTCAGGGTCAGAAGGAGGTGAAGCCACGGAGGGTGTGAGGAGGCCTCCTGGTCCCCAGTGGGCCCTGGGGATGACCCCAGGCCTGGGTTCTCAACCCTGGGCTCGCCACCTGCTCATTTCCGTCTCTCTTGTTTCTGGACTTCACAGCCAGAGGAGACGCAGAGGGCTCAGGCTCAGACCCCGGGGCTGGCTGAGACCCAAACTATGAGCTTGGTCCAGCCAGTGCCCGGGGTACACCCAGTGCCGGTTCACGCCTACTCCATCAAAGACTCCTCCTGCAGAGAGGTAAGGCTCTCCCCACCGCCACCTCCGTCCCTGGAAGCCCAGATCCCACTAGGCAGGCGGGGTTGGGGTGGGGTGAGAATCCAGGCCTTAATCAGCACCTACTGTGTTCTCTCCCTCGCTCCTGGCTGCCCTGCCAGGAACCTCCCCTGTAAGCACGAGCCCCTCGAGGCAGGCAGAGGCCAGCAGAGGCGGTGGTCAGCAGACAGCCCGTGGGCATGGTAGCCCAGGGGGTGTCCTCTGTGGAGAGCAAATGGGGAGGGCCCCAGGCCCCTGCCACCCAGGTCCGCGTCTCTGCCCACCCTGCCAGCACCCCTGAAGGCTGCTAACCTGGCCCTGTGACTCCCCACTGCATAGGAGGTCTGCAACACAGTCCTGCCCCAGAAGAGGAAGTCCTGCCAGACTGAGTGCCCCAGGAAGGCCATCAAGATGGAGTCTGAGGAGGAGAGGGAGACACGGTTGGCGCGGAGCTCCCCCGAACAGCCCAGGCCCAGCACCTCCAAGGCAGTCTCGCCACCCCACCTGGATGGGCCCTCCAGCCCTGAAAGCCCAATCTTCGGAGGCGAGGTCTTTCTGCCCAACAGCAACCACACAGCCGGCAACCCCGGGGAGGCAGGTAGGGAGGTGGGTGGGCAGCAGAGGCTACAGCCTGCGTGCTGTCCTCCAGGGGCTGGGTGGGACCCTTCTGCATCCTCACCCCTCCCAGGGAGCCCAATGCCAGCAGCATCCCCTGTGTGTCCCGAGCTCTCAGCTGCCCCCAAATGGGGCAGGGAAAGCGCACCGTTTGCCTGGGGGGTGAGAATGGATACAGTTTACCAGGTGATTTGCTGGGATTCCAGTGTGAGGAGCCTGAGGGGCTAAAGCCCATGGTTCTGTAGCTCCTTCCCCCTTAGGGTACCCAGCACTGTGCCCCTGCCCAAGGCGGGTGTCCCCAGGGAGTGTGTGTTGGTGGGTACCTAGCATGTGCCTAGAGAGACCTTGGGGAAAGTCCACACCTATCACATCCCAAATTTGTCTGCAGAGGTCACCTGCATCAAGTACCTCATTTGTCCTACATAATCTCTTACTGACAGTGCCAGATAGGGAGTCCTTGGACATGAGTTGCGGTCAACTAATAGAATTCTGGAATGGTCAAGACAGTTCTTCCAAGATCTGCTTCACCCAGAGGCCCCCTTTGTTTTCATTCTAGGTCCCAGACTGAGCCCTGATCCTGCTTGCACACTGAGCCCTGACCGACATTCCTTGCTCACAATGCTATTGGTAATCAAAAGATTTTGATTAACCAAGTAAAGTATCTTTTAATTCGAACACCTCAGCTCATGAGGCTGAGGATTGGAACAAACGAACGTGCTTCTTTAGGATTGCAAAAGGTTCCAAACCAGGGGCTGTTTGCCAAGCTGCCTGTACAAGGAGCAGATTCCGAATTCAGGGCTGCTAGCTGAGTTAAGTACTCACATACAGGGCACAGTGGGCAGTGACGGAAAGCCCTTTTGAATAAATAAGTAGATCCACACCAGCACACTTGGTGGATGTCCCCATCCCCCGCCTTGCAGGGCACACATGGCCCACCCCATCCACTCGCCCACAGGGATTCCCAATGGAGCACACCTGGGCCTCACCCACTGGGCCACCGAGCAGGGCCTAATGCTGTCCCCTCTGCCCCGTTTCAGAGGAACGCGTCGTGGTGATCAGCAGCTCGGAAGACTCAGATGCTGAAAACTCGGTGAGTGGTCCAGAAGTTCGGCCCTGGCCTCCTGCCTCCCCCCATTCCAGGTCCCAGGGGACACAACCACAGCAGGTGACCCTCAGACTTGCCCTGCGCCTGGGGAGTTTTCCATCGAGGCAGTGAGTTGTGAGCTGTCCTGAGGACAGCCTCCAAATGCCACCTGCGGGCCTGGACCACCCCAGCCCTCCCTTCGTACCAGGGCAGGCGCCTTCAGTAACCATACGTGCTCTGAAATGCTGCTAGAGTGCTTCCTTCCAGAGCCCTGTCTCGTTTCTGGACTAGCTAATGCCTTTGTCTGGAGCTTCCTTACACGTTCTCTAACCTCTAAGTCCTCAGCGAGGAGGGTGGACAAGAGCCCGTACCCCGGTTACTGCAACCAGTGAGGGTCAGTGCAGGGCCGCGAGGGCATGGGCCGCACCATGTGGGGCCCAGATAGGCGAGTTCTCACGCCCTAAGAAAGAACGTGAAAGCCGTCCCCCCATGGAACAAGTACCTTTGTGGGTTGCGACCCTTCCGTCCCTGGAGGTTGGTTAATGGAGGATGGGGCAAAGGGGATCTGAACAGAGTGAAAGGTTGGACTGGGTGGCCCCTGAGGTCCCTTCCAGCCCTCAGTCTGAGGTTCTGTATTGGAAAGTGCATGGAGCCCACGGAGACCGCTGCACCACACTCCTCGCCAGCCCACCCCCTGCCAAGAGCACGAGGAGCTTACCGCCTCTCCCGGGCCTCCCGTCTGCCCCCTGGCGCATGCCGTCCCCTGGCTTGGGCTTCCCACCATCGCGCCGAGCAAGCTGCAGACCCTGAGGCCAAGTCTCCCAGCCAGCCTGCCAGTCACCAGGAGGAGGCTGCCATCTGCCACCGCCGCGGGACCAGCTTCCTGCCACGGAGAACACAAAGAACCGCCCATCTTCATCGGATCTTCCGCTTGCCCCTCAAAGTGTATTGTAAACCCTTGTGGACTTATCCTCCCCCCAAGGTCCAGGCCACCACCCCTGCCACCACGGGGCCTCCCGGCCATCCTGCCGATGCCCAGGAGGGTCCCTGCCACCTCCAGAGGGCCATGGGCCAACGCCACTGCCGCCGGGGTCGAGGAGCAGTGCGCTCCCTCGGCTGCTCCCTCCGGGGCTCCCCCAACGTAGCCCAGTGGCTCAACAACTTTTTTGCCCTTCCTCTCTCCTCTGTGGCTGCCCAGCTTGACACCTCTCTCAGCAGGGGGGATGAAGGGAGGCAGAGCGCCCCAGACTCTTAGGGCAGGCATCTCCCCCAGGGATTCTGACACGGGTCTCACTGGAGGTCTCTCCAGTTGTGTTCCCACTCCCTTGCCCTCCAGAGGCTCCCCCACCAGCCCGGCCCCCCTCAGACAGGCCTCTGAGAGCCCCGAGCACCTCCCTCCTCTACAGCTGCTGGCCACCGTCCTCCTGGAACCGTGTGGCCACTCACTCGGCCCCTGCTCCACCCCGCTGCTGGGCCTGGCCCGGCCCTTGCACCCAAGGCCCTGCACCCCGTAGGCATTCAGTGCATTGTGGTCAGGGAGCAGACCCAGGAAGGAATGGCTACATGGACTCAGCAAGGGGACGTCAGCCCTCTTCCTGGAAAGGGCATGACTGAGATTCGGGCCACCGCTCCTCACATCCCCGGGCCTCTTTGCTCAAAACTAGGAAGCATCTGTCGCCCTTTGCACCTCCCACTGTCCCATCCCATCACCCCAAGGCTTTCCACTAGGCCTCTGCCAGGACCTAAGCCCACGAGGGCAGGGACTGTGTCGATCCCAGGACCTGGCAGATACGGCTGCTCAATAAATATTTGTTGAAAGATTGCCCTTGCAAACCCTTCTTCCATGACCATCACATTCCCTGCTGGACTTAGCTCTTCTCTTGCAGGTGGTTTCGTGTCCCCCCTGCACTGAAACTGGGTCCTCTGGTGGGGTTACCACGTCCCCTCTTCTCCCATGCCCTGTGGGAGGTGGGTCAAGGCCTTCTGTGCCTCCTGGACTGTGTCGGTCCCACCATCTGGTAAGGTCCCCTGTGCCTTGAGGTTCCAGGTCTTGAGGGGAACCCCACTTTCCCCAGATCATTTCACGCCTCCTCCTGCCTCCCCCTCCACATAGGGAAGGCTCCAACCCTTGCCTCCCAGGGGGCCTCTCCTGAGCCAGGGCCAGCCTTCTTTCTGGGTGACTTCAACACCCAGCACCCTGGCCTCTCCGGAGTCTTCACCCCATTCCACTGCAGCCCCCAGCCCCATGGCCCCCCACTCTGCACCTCACCATACCGAGAACTGGTTCACAGGGACTCTGGCCACAGCATCCTGCCCCTCGAGCTCTCAGGTACTTCGAGGACCCCTGCCCTCCCCACCCCGGTTCCTGTAGCTCCGGCTGCTACTCCTCATCCTCCTTCCTCTCAGGCCTCTGTTCTTTTCCATGTTCTTCCAGCTGCAGCCCCTCTTCTCTTCCTAGTGTGTCCTTCCTGTGGCCTCAGCCATGCCCGCAGGCTGCTGATGCCGGGCGCTCACTCCCGCAGCCAGACCAGGATAGATAGCCCGTGGGCCTCCGGAGTCCGTGCTCAGATGCCCCATAGATCCCTCAGACTCCTCTGTCTGCTGTCTGCTCGGTACGTCACCCCATCTGCCCGGCTACGGGAGCGGAGGCCCCTCTCAATCGTTCCTCAGCGCCGGTCAGATTTTCAGTCTTAATCTTTCCACAGTCTACATTCCTCTGAACCCTAGGCACTTCTTTCCGCCCCAGAAACCTGCTAAAACAGAACTGATCCAGGGCAGAGGTGGAAGCCTGGGAAGGAGACTCTGAGAAAGGATGGCAACGCCAGTGGTCTCGCCAGACTTCACGAGAGTTGGGGGCGGGCATCAAGACCAGCAGTCTTGGGGGGCGGGTGTCAGTCCGGCCCCAGCCATCAGCAGGGGGGCGCGAGGTGATGTCTGAGGTTATTCAAGGAAGGCGGGAGAAGCTCATTTTAGGTGGTGAAGAGTTAAAACAGTTAGAAGCAGCCACTCACCTTCAGAGACCAGCTCTGGGCTGGGGGAGAGCTGGAGGACCACTGCTTTTGTGTTGGAATTCTTTGGACAGCGCGCTTTTTAAATTAAGCATTGTGAGTCCCAAACTTAAAAAAACATATATTTAAAACGAAAACCAATGAGGACCCCTTCGTGCACTTCTCACCCACCTCCTGTGCCCCCTTCCGGAACCTGGCGCTCCTAGAGTACCCGCAGCAACTTGGTTGGGGAGCAGGGCTTCCTTGGCAAGGTGCTTCAGGCTCCTGCATACCCCTGAACTCCCCCTCCGTAGCCTTCATCCCACCTGCTACGTGTGAAAGTTGGCCTACGAAAAGAGCACCTTTTCCAAGTGTACCGGGTTGCGTAGGGACCCCCATCCCCAGATTGCTGCTGTGTCAGTTGCTGGAATCTAGTGAGACACGCCGGGGGGCTCTGGTGCAGGCCTGGCCAGGAGGTCGAGGCTCAGGGAGAGACTGCTTGTGCAGGAAGAGCAATCTGTGAGCTGGCAGAGGTGGTTGGAGGGGTCAGGCCAGGCCTGATGGTGGGCAACTGAACACAAGGCGGGTCAGCAGTGCCTCTGCCGTGAGCCCCGTGTTAGGGTCCGAGGCAGAAAAAAATAGAATGCTCTCACCTACCCTTGGACAGGCGGCTGGCCCCAGTGTCCGGCAGGAGCAGGACCACGTGGAAGCAGGAGAGTTCGGTCCGTGGGCGAAGTGGCGGTGGTGGCCAGCAGGAGAAGAGGGAGGCCTATGGGGGACAGCCGATCCACTGGAGGGGCCGTGCCGCTGATGTGTGGGTATCGGAAAAGAAGCAGGTGCTCGTCTGAGAAGGTGGGAGCCGTGGTCCCGAGGGGCAGCAGCCTGCAGAGGGGGCCGGAGCAGTGGGCGGAGGGCAGCAGGGGCCGCAGGCTAGCGGACAGGATGGCCCGGTTCACAGATACATGGGAGGTGTTTCGGGGCTTCCAGACTTTGCAAGAGCTGGGGTTTTGTGTCTGCAAAAAAAAGCAATGCGTGCGTCTTGCCAAACTGATCGCAGCTGTCGTTGAAGCTTGGGTGCTGAGAGGGTTCCTCAGGAACTTGGGGACTCTTGGTAAGAATGAATGGTGGGTACTGTGTAGACAACTTCAGGTGACCAGATGCTAAATATCAAAGAGTCTGGCTCCTGTCTGAGTGGCTGCTGACCAAGCGTGGAGTGAATCAGTAGGACAGTAGTTCTCAACCCTGGCTGCACACTGGAATCTTTGGGGGGAGGTGGGGGGTTGTTTCCAGTGACAGATTCCTGGGTCCGACTCCCAGAGATTGTAATTGAACTGGTCTGGGGTGCAACCCGAGCATCTGGAGTTTTTGAGGCCGCTAATGCACAGCCAAAAAGGGGAGAACCACTGAATTGGGAGGTTCAGTTGCCCGTCTGTGATTCGTGTACATATCAGCCTTCAACGGAGGTGACCCGTACATGCTGGGATAGGATCCAGCAGGGGAGAGGGGGACGCTGGATCTTCCCAGAGAAACCTCCTAGACTTGTGGAAGGTGATTAAAATGTCAGCCCGGCTGCTTCCTATGGGTGTGCTTGGTGCGACCGGGAGGCCTGCTGTGTGGATTAGGAATGCAGTTGCCCTGCTAAGTTGATCCTTGCTGGAGACAAGTGAACTGTAGCTCACGAGCCGGGCCACATGTGTCTCTTAGTTCGATGTGTTTCCTGAAAACCTCATGGGCTCCCCGGGGCTCAGTGTGACCACAGTTCTGCAGTCAAAGAAACAGTCCATTATCCAAGTATAATAAAGAAATAAAGCCTAGTATTTACCTGCTCCCCAACCAAGTAAAGAATATTAAAGGGGGTTTGACTCCCAACTCCCAGCAGCACATCTTCAGGTCCTCTTCCTCTTTTCTTCAGCTCCCATCATGCCCACTCCCTAATGCCTTGGAACTTCCCACTTCTCGCTTTCCAGGCCGTGCATGCAGACTCTCATCTTCACCACTCCGTTTCCCATTCCACCGTTCCTTTTCCCTTCCTAGCAGATCTCAAGCCTCTTCCAACAAAAGGCCCTTTCCTGGGTTGGGTCTGGGTCTCTGCTCCTATCCCTCTACACTCCCCACCTGCACACTCAGTTCCCCTGACTGTGGACGGAAGCCCAGCAGTGGTGCTCCTCTCGTGAGTGGGGAGGGGGCAGGAGGACATCCTGCACCAGAGCCTCTTGTGCTGATTGCCCTTTTGTTAAACCTCGGTCTTTAGAAAAATCTTTCGTAAGCGCGCCGGTATTTCCTGGCCGTGTTGCTGGGATTTAAGGCAGGGAGGGCGCTTAAGTGGATGGGCCCGCTGGAGTTCAGTGGAAGGTGTTCTAGCGAAATCATCCCCATGCGCTGGCTGCACTTAACAGGAGTCCCCAAGGGTGAGGAGGAACCTGAAAGGAAGAAGAGTCCGGGCTGGAAGTTCCAGACTTCCCGCCGTTGACCAGCTCGGCAGAAGGGGGTGATCCTTTCTTTAAGGGAGCTGGATGAAAGACATTGCACCACTATAAAAGAGAAAATGACCCCAGGACAGTGGGAGGCCGTAAAAATGAGATTCTCATGGCCATCATAAATGACCCTGGTATGAAGATGGAGCTAGCCTAAAGACGCAGTTCTGCTGCTCTCCAGGGAGCTCAAATCTGGGAAGAGGAAATCCGAAGAGGTGACCAGGGCTCTAAGGCCTGAGAAGACATTCCAGAAGGAAGGAGACAGGTGGAGGCACTCAGGACCACTGCACAGGCCTTTGCAGTTACGTTGGGAGCAAAAAGAGGAAGAAAGAAGAGAATGCTCCGTGTGCCATGTCAGCAGGTGGCAGAGAGGACTTGGGAAAAGGGACAGCTCTTCAGCTCCAGAGAGGACACAGCAAAAGGAGTCCAGCTCTTTCCACCAGCCCAAGTGCAAGAGCAAGGTCTGGAAGGCTGAAGATAAAAAACACCTGGATTTTTCCCTCGGGGGAGGAAGGTGGCGTCTCTGGTCCACCAGCCAACAACTTGGAGGAAGACACCTGTAGAGGGCTCCTTACAGGGAGGAAAGGGAGCTGGGACCAGGAGACAGAAGACTCAGAGCAAGGCATGCAAAATAAACCTTTGATGCGTGGCCAAATCGAGGATACGGATATGCCAGGCATTTGACCAAGACTTTAATTAGGGCCTTATGTGTAGAATCCCCTTACTCCCAGGCTTCTGTGAGAAACACCAGCTCTAGGTGGATTCATAGTGAATGTCTTTTCTATCAGTGACTGGGAGGAAGTTGGTGAGCCTGGGGTAGGGTTATGAAAAGCAAAAAGAGTAAGAATCAGGCACTCCCAGGAAAATCCAGCACATTGTACCTGTGCTTAGTAATGACTTCGCTCTTGGCTGAGGTTTTGTTAAAATGTTTCACCTGGAGAGTAAGAGGGCCTAAACCCGCGCTCATTCTCTCCTGAGCCAGGGACATTAGCCAGAAGCCAGCGTTCGTTCTTCAGATAGCCCCGGGGGAGGCCAGCATCATCACCCTGCTAGAGGCAGTCCGGAAATATGAAGGACCCGAGGTCTGCTCTGGACTCTGTCCCAGCAGTACTCCCAGCCCTGTGACACGTGGCCCTGTGGCATCAGCCATGTCCTTTCCTCCTAGTCTCTGGCTAACATCCGCAGGTGGCATCCCCGGGGAAGCTCTAAGCAGGCCACCAAAGACACCTTCTGGGTATGGCAGCTGGTGGATGCTGAGCAATTCACTTTAGGGAGAGGCTCTACCGCCCTCCAGCCGCAGCCCTTTGGGAGCCTCACAGAGTTGGAGCCCTTCCCCCACCCCTCCAGCCGCAGCCCTTTGGGAGCCTCACAGAGTTAGAGCCCTTCCCCCACCCCTGAGGCCTTTCGAACTGTTTCTGCCTGGGTGCTGGAGAGAACAGGGCCTTGGGTGCCCAGGTTAGAGGATCCCCGGGCCTGAGGCTTCTCTGAGCAGCCGGCTCCTGGATGCTAAATGACAAAGGGCTTCCGGGCCCTGAGACTTCTCTCTCCGTGGCTCTCGCTTCTGGGTTCTGTGTGTCCATGTTGACGTGGCGTTCCTGAGGCTGAGTGGCCCTCCCCTCCCCCTCTGTGTAGGACACTGGGGCCCAGGCTGGCCATGGGGACAAGAAGAGTCAGGCTCCTGGCCCCTTCCAGAGAAACATCTGAGGTTTGAGATGAGGCTCCTTCCTCCTGTCCCAAGTTCAGGGTGTTTCTTCTGAGTCTGTTGAGAGAGAAGGGAGCAGCAGACCCCTCCAGCCCCGCCCACCACAGCAACAGCCCCTTCCCTGAGCTTCCCTGCCCAGCACCATGCCCGCAGGTGCACACTCACTCACATATGCTCACATTCCCACACAGTTGTCAACACCAGTTCACAAATTCACACCCGATGCACACATTTGACATTTGCATTCATTCCCATACTTGTGCTTTCACACACACACACACACACACACACAACTTGCCTGCGTGATCTCAGTCTCTCACTCCTACTCACTACTGCGTGGTTCACACGTGGCTCTCACATACACACACATCCACTCCTGTGCACACATCCTCATGCACACACTCACTTAGACACACCCCTTCCCCTTCCCAATACCCTGCTCCCCCTCATGTGCGTGCAGATATGCCCCCAAACATACCAGCTTGCTCGTGTCCCCACACTCACGCCATGCACACACACACACGCTCACGGGCACATGCTCGCATTGCCACCACGCACCCTCGCCCTCCGGCCCCCTGACCTGTTGGTTTTTCTGTGTTGCAGTCCTCCCGAGAGCTGGATGACAGCAGCAGCGAGTCCAGTGACCTCCAGCTGGAGGGCCCCAGCTCCCTCAGGGTCCTGGACGAGAGCCTCGCCGACCCCCAAGCAGAAGACAGGCCCCTGGTTTTCTTTGACCTCAAGATTGACAGTGAAAGTGGGTTCTCCAATGGCCACCCCCACCCCTTTCTAGCTTAGTCTCTGAGTTCCCGAAATAAGCGCAGGCAGAGGCTGTGTTCCGGGCCTGGGAGAGCCCAGAGCTCTGGCCAGTGCCACACCCAGAGAGCAGGCAGAGCGCTGCATCCCCCCTGGGACTCCAGCTGTCCCACTTGGCTGATGGAATAAAGGCTTCTGCCTCGACCAGCGCCTGAAAGCATGAGGCACGTGCCTCCATGAGCTCACCTCTGACCAGCGCTTCTCTTAGAGGGCCCTGGCGACACACCTCTAAACAGAAACACCACCATGTGGGAAGTCACCACGATGAGGCCAGCAATGCAAGCAAGGCCTTAAGCCCTGACTGCAGCATTCTGAGTACAGAGCCCGTTCCGCAGGTGGAACGGGGAGGCTGACAGCCAAGATCATGGAGAAAGATGACCCCTTCTCCCAGAAGCCCCTCAGCTCCCCGTGGTGCTTACCTGCAGTGCCCTTCACTGAACCTGGAGGGCCCGGCCTGCCCTGTGGCACAGTCCCAGCACGGGGCCAGCCCAGCCAGGCAGAAGTGGTGCTGTAGGCCTAGGACAGGGAAGTCATTTGCAGACCTCACAGGGCAGCTCTGAGCCACGTTCCGAATGGAGTAGATTGGGCAGGTGGGCCGTGTGTCCCAGGGCTCTGACCAGCCAGGAGTCTTGGCTCAGTGACCAACGGGATTGGAGGCTGGGGCAGGGAGCAGAGGATGCAGGGGAGACAAAGAGGGCCCCGGAGTGTAGGTGGGTGAGGCTAACAGAAGGCAGACAGGAGGGAGCTGGCTCTAAACTGGCAAAGTCTGGGACAGGTGGCAGGGTCAGGGGCGTGGGGCGGAGCTGGACTCTCAGCAGGTGAGTGGGGTGTGTTTGGAGAGCAGCCAGCTTTCGCCTTCTGCCCCCTGACCCCACGAGAGCCAGGGTAGAGCTACGTTTGGAGGCTGATGTGTGGTTCCTGCCGGCAGGCCCCAAGGTGGGGTCTCTGTGTGGTGGGACAGTAACCCCAGAGTTCCTGCTGCTCCCGCCCCGTGCCGCCGCCCCCCTCCCCGCCACGCCCCTGGGGCCTCACCCTGCCCTTCTCTCCTGCCCAGCCCAGAAGATTAGCCAGCTGGCGGCCGTGAACCGGGAGAGTGAGTTCCGCGTGCTCATCCAGCCAGAGGCCTTCTTCAGCACGTACTCCAAGGCCGTCTCCCTGGAGGTGGGGCTGCAACACTTCCTTGGTTTTCTGGGCTCCATGGGCTGCCCCATCCTGGCCTGCTATAAGCTGTGGGGACCCGGCCTCCCCAACTTCTTCCGGGCCCTGGAAGACATGAACAGGCTGTGGGAGTTTAAGAAGGCCATCTCGGGCTTCCTGGCCACGCTGCCCCTCATCCGGGAGCGGGTGCCCGGGGCCAGCAGCTTCAAGCTCAAGAGCCTGGCCAAGACCTACCTGGCGAGAAACATGAGCGAACGCAGCGCCCTGGCCGCCGTGCTGGCCATGCGAGACCTGTGCCGGCTCCTCGAGGTCTCCCCGGGCCCCCCGCTAGCTCAGCACGTCTACTCCTTCAGCAGCCTGCAGTGCTTCGCGTCCCTGCAGCCGCTGGTGCGGGCGGCCGCCCTGCCCCGCGCCCAGGCCCGCCTGCTGGCCCTCCACAACGTGAGCTTCACCGAGCTGCTGGCCGCGCACCGTCGCGACCCCCAGCAGGGCCTGCGGAAGTACGGCCGCTACCTGGGCCTGCCCCCCGCCTCGTCGCCCCCCGCCCAGCGCGCCGGCAGCCTGCAGGCTCTGAGCACCTACTTCAGAGGCCTGTCGGAGGAGCCCGTCTCCGCCCAGGCGGAAGGCATCGCCGCCCCTGTCGCCGGCCACAGCTTGGCAGAGAGGGTGTGCCAGCGGAGCTGAGAGGAAGCCCGGACTGGCTTGGAATCTCTGGGGATGGGGAGGGGGTCCCTGAGCCAGCGCCCCCCTCAACCCACTGCCCATCACTGCATTCCCAGGTCCTGGCCCCCAGCACCCCGCTGTCATTTGGTCCGGAATCTGTTCTCTGGGACCAAACTCCCCTTCTCTAAAAACCCCATAGAGAAGGTTCCAAGTCCAAGCAAGTCCAAGTCCTAACTCCCCAGGGGCCACCAGATCCCCTTTCAGGCCTTGGGAGCACCCATGGGTTGGTTCCCTCGAGCCCTGGCCCCCTCTCCTCCAGGAGCCAAAACCAGGGGGTAAAGAAGGCCCAGCCTCTGGGCTGAGTGGCCCCCAGCCACCCAACCTGCCACTTCCGTGAGTGTCCCTGCAGCCTCTCCCTGACCCCCAGCCGCTGCCCTAGGGGACCTGCTGACGCCCCCCAGAGACCCTGCCCGCAACACCCCACGGGTACCCAAAGTGCCTTTCAAACCAAGCCGCTGTCATGAGTTTGGGTTCTCCCGCCGTCTGCCTGTCTGAAGGCCAGCTCTCTGTTCACTGCTCTGGGGACAAAAATGCATTTTCATCCCCAAAGAGCCTCATATCGGCAGAGACAGAAGCTGCTGCTTCATGCCTGTCCCTCCTTCCAAAGTCTGACCCTTCTGAGCTTGCTTCTTTCCTTGTGGCCGCACGGACACCTCCCCTTAGTCAGGCTTCGCTCTTCGGCCCTCAGGCCACCAGCCCCTCTCAGCATGGCTTTTGCTCTCTCTGCGCTGCTCACCTCAGCCCCACTGAGGAACGTCCTCTAACCCAGCGCCGCGTGCCACATACACCAGGGGCCCGCAGCGTTGGCATCCCCCGGGAGCCTCTACCCCAGACCTCTGGAATCAGCATCTCTGAGGTGGGCCCAGCAGGCTGGTTTAGCACGTCCTTCAGATGAATCTGACACCTGCTAAGACTCAGAACCAGTACTCTGATAGACGGCTCCCCAAAAGCGCAGCAGGGTGGAGTAGCAGAGCAAGTCCCGGGCCCGACTGGGCACATGGAGGGTGACCTAGGAAAAGACCCCTTCCTGAGCTCCGGCATCTCCACCCACTAAATGGGCTCCCGTCCAGCTCTGCCATTCTGGGATTTTAGACATGGACCAAAGCCATCGAGGCAGTGGGCAGGATGGTTTTCAACTTAAACCCTAGCTCTCAGCCCCAAGCTAAGGCCCCCAGCCTTGTGGTCACACCAGAGGTCAGCGGCAGAACAGAGGCAGGTCAGGGCCTTCCCTCTGACCAGCAGAACCACTGTCCCTGTCCTGCTCCTCTCCCTTCCTTCTTCCTTGCCTCCTGCCACCGGGACACAGCCCAGGCCTCCAGCCTCCATTGCCCGAGCTTTCACAGGGGTGAGGTCTGCGTGCCCACACCTCAGCCCCCAGCCAGCAGGTGCCCTGCAGATGCACTGAGGGATTGCATGGGAACTGGCTACCACAGTGGGAGTGCTGGGCGACCAGTGAACTCTGATGCATTGAAAATAGGATTCAAGTTCAAAGCAAGTGTTGACTCAGAAGCTGCCGTGGGAACAGGCTGATGGGGCCGCAGCCTAGCTGTGATAACCATCTCGGCAAGTGCAAAGCAGCACCTGGGCCACCGCTCATATCCTCGTCCCTCAGCCTCGCCCCGACCTGCGCGGCGCCCACTGGCTTCCAGCCCCGCCGTGCTTGCTACCTGCAGAGTGCTTGACCACAGGTTTTATAACAAAGGGCTGCTCTGCCCTCTCTCCGTTTATGCAGCCTCTAATAAAGATGTGGATGTTCGAAGTCTGATGCACCAATCCAGCGCTGCTCAGCCCACCCCAGCAGCCACCGAGCAGCCTCTTGCCTGGGGAAGAGGATACGTTCCCAGACATGGAAGAGCTGCCCTTCGTCACATCCTTTCGGGACTCAGCAGAGCTGAGAGCCCCTTGTTGTTCAGTGCTGGGGGCCTCAACAGATGTGAGCTTCCCCATTCCAAAGAGGGAGACCCAAGGTGGGCCTGTCGGGGATCATCTCCCCAAAGGAGAGGCACATGGAGGGAAAGAAGCACCAGTTTCACAAATTACCCCCTAGAGGGCATCTGGAGGCAGAGACGGGTGTCTGTCATCTCTGCTCCCTGCTGGGTAATCTTGCACCCCTGTGTGTGTCCCCAGAGTCACAGAGGGTAAAACCCCCAACAATGGGGAGGGGAGCCCAGGACATTAGCGATGTGTAATTAACATGCCGCTGTCCAGGGTGTCCCCAGCGGAATCCACGTTAGTACGTGCAGGGATTCCCACGGCACAGGCAGTGTCGGGGGACTGGCCCTCCCCAAGCCTGGGTGAGCAGCCTGGTGATGTCACTGGATCGGTGCCACCACCCTTAACCCCACCTACCTGCCCCAGATGCCCAAATTCCAGTCCTGGAGTTTTAGTCTCTAAGAGCAAGTTCAAATAGATCCCCTGTGCCTCATGTTTGAATTCTATCTCAGATTCACCCATGTCAGCTAACCATGAACTTGCTGGGCTTGAAGTCAGGACACTGAGTTTCAATCCTCACACCACAGCCTCTGACTGGTCTGGTGTGTCAAGCTCACTGAGGCATGGGCTCTGGCTCTGTCACATGGGATCATATCGATCATTTTTCCCTCACAGGCTCCTGCATGAACCAATGAGAGAATGTGGAAATAGGTTTTTAATATATGAAGAACCACACAAACATAAGATCTTATTTTACAGACAACCAAGATGACAGTTTTATTGCTTCATAAGTTACAAGAAATTAATAGATCTTAGCTCTTAGCAAAAAATATACATGGGCTTGGCTTCAGGGAATAAAAACAAGAGCAGAGCAGACAATTGTGGGGGTCCAAGGGAGCCAGGGAGAAGAGCAGGGAAGTCGACCTTGGAGTGGCTGAGAAGTGGGTGGCTCTGTGTCCCCAGCACACCCAAATGGGGGATTTCAGCCTCACGCACCTGAAGCAGAGAACAGCCTTCCAGTGACACAGCTCAGCCAGGGCCAGCCCTACCTGCTCTGGTGCCTCCTTCCGAGGCCCAAGGGCTCACACCCCCAGGAACCCGGCCCCCTCCCCCATCCCTCCTCCTCCAGTCCCCACCTGCCCCACTTCATCCTTATTCCTACCCAGACTCGCTCTGAAGCCTAGTGCCTACCCTGGCAATTCTCCCTCTCTCAGAGTTTACCCAGCACCCTACAGCTCCCAGCAGGCCCAGCCCTTCTTCCTGGATCCTCTGACCTCAGGCTTGCGTCCACCCCACAGCCCACGTGTCCCCAGCCCCTGTGCCTACCCGCCCCAGAGGGAAGGGAGCCGAGCTGGAGCTGCTCTCAGAATCAGCCAGCAGGGGGCGCAGCGGCCCCGCCTGGCCCTGCGATAAGGCGCAGCTCCAGCAGGTGGGGAGTGGAGGGGCGTGGGGCTTAGGCTCCCGAAGCGCTCAGAAGCGCTCAGTCTTTTCGTAAGCGCCCGGCACGCTGCGGGTGGTATAGGAAGTAGCTTCAGGTAGATGGTGCGTGGAGAAGCAGTTCAAGAACGTTAGCCGTGTTGTGTTCATTTTAACATTAGAAAAAAATGTAACCAGCATATCAAAACGGTGATTTCTGGAATATAGTTGCTCAGAATGATGCTAAAGTGGAATTATTTAGAGGTCTAATTTAAGGACAAGTATTAGGTAACCACAAGCTCAGGAGGCACACAGGTATAGCAAACCTCGTGACTTAATTTGGGGAAATCCTGGGTTACCTACCCATGGAATTAGGATGAGGGTTAGAGCTAAAGTCAGGGCCCAGGTTAGAACTGGGGTAAGGATGGGGTGGGGTTAGAAGTTGGGGTAAAGCTTCAGGTTAGGATTTCGGGTATATAAAATTTAGGGGCACATTTGGTGACGAAGGTTAGCAATGGAGTTAAGAATCAAAAGGAACAGAATTAGAGTCACTCTTGAGGCTACAGATAGATCACTTTAGCAGCTGAAGAGTCCATGAAACTGTGGAGGGGCAGGAGCTTCTGAGAACCCCCTCATATGGCCCCCTGAGTGTGGTCTGCCTCCCTCCCCAGCATCCTCTTCTAAAAGCACCCCTCAGGGGTGCCTTGGTGGCTCAGTCAGTTAAGCATCTGCCTTCAGTTCAGGTCATGATTCCAGAGTCTCAGGATCGATCCCCAGGTCTGAGCCCCAAGTCTGAGCCCCACATTGGGCTCCCTGCTCAGCAGGGGAGTCGGCTTCTCCCTCTCTCTCTCTCTGCCCCTCCCCCTGTTCGTGTTCTGTCTCTCAAATAAATAAATAAATAAAATCTTTTTAAAAA